AATTCTCCTCTCTCCCTGGCTTCCTTCCTGTCCCCCCCCCCCCCCCCCCCCCGTTTCTGGAGAAACCGGAAATGAGAATGTGGGTTTGAAGGGTGCTCTCCCGCGCCCCGCCTCCGGCAGAGCGAACTGTGCGCCTGCGCCCTGGGCCTCAAGGTTGCTGATCGGGCGGATCGCTGTTCTTCACAGCCTTTGCGGCACCGCAGCGGGCCCGCAAAGGGGCCCAGGCGGAGTCCTGGCCCGCTGCGGTCCTGCCTGCACTCACTCATTCACCCTGCTCATCCTTTTCCCATCATGCCTGAGGCCTCACGCTGGGCCTGACTTTTGACAAAGCTATGCATCTGGATGCCATGCTGGGGGGCTAGGGGTTTGTTCACACGACTCGGGGTGCAGGGCGAATGGAAAAAGAGCCCTCTGTGTGCGGGCCTGGACCGAAGCCTGGGTGGACCAAGAGTTGGGGCTGTGTCTGGGGGGGAAACGCGCTCCCCTGCGAACCCCACCCCCTCCCCAGGCCCCTAGGTCTCCCCTTCTTTCCTGCAGCTGTAGCCGTCCAGCCGCCATCCTGCAATTGCCCCCAGGCGCCGCCATTAAAGTCTGAATCCCTGCAACGCGGTGTGCGGCGTCTCTTGGACAGCTGTGTGTGTGTGTGTGGGGGGGCCAAGCTGTGTGCAGTAGCGCACGCCTGGCATCCCAGCCACAGGGGCTGGCATCTGAGGATCCTAGTTCAAAGCCAGCCCAGGCAGGAGAGTCTGCCTGATCTCTGATCTCCAGTGAACCAGCAAAAAAGACAAGTGGTGCCGTGGCTCAAGTGGTAGAGCACCAGTCCTGAGTGCAAAAGCTAAAGGGACAGTGCCCAGGCCTTGAGTTCGAGTCCCAGGACTAGCACAAAAGAGAAAAGATTGGGCCACTGTGGCTGGGGGGACAGGGGGAGTCCTGCCCAGGGTTCGAGTGATTTGGTGCCTTTTTTATATCGTGTCAGTTGTGGGGCTTGAACTCTGGGCCTGGGCGCTGTCCCTCAGCTCTTCAGCTCAAGGCTGGCGCTCTACCACTTGAGCCACAGCGCCACTTCTGGCTTTTTCTGCTTATGTGGTGCTGAGGAATCGAACCCAGGGCCTCATGCATGGGAGGCGAGCACTCTGCCACTGAGCCACCTGCCCAGCCCCTGAGCTTTGTTTTTGCTCAAGGCTGGGTGCTCTACCACTTGAGCCACAGCTCCACGTCCGGCTTAATTGAAGATAAAATTCTCACGGACTTTCCTTCTGATCCACAATCTTCAGTATCTCAGCCTCCTGAGTAGCTGGGATTACAGGGGTGAGCACTGGTGCCCAACTAGAGACTCCTCTTCGGGTTGAGGAGTCCTGGCATCCATGCGTGGGCACTGTGTATATGTGTGTATGCGTTTTGGGGGGGGGTGGCGGAGGGGTTCTGGAATAGGGTAGGACTTCACGGGTCCCCCCAAAAAGACAAAGGAACTGGAGGGGCTGGAGGATGGGGAGAAGAGCCCTGAGGAAACACAGTCCTCCAGCGAATTCAAGATTCCAAGACCTGAGCTGGGTGGGCCCCAGGCTGGAAAGACTGTGAAGAGGACATCGGAGGGGTGGGTGGATAGAAGATTCTAGAACACCTCAATGCTTATGGAGACTTAGTTTCGAGGTGCTCAACCCAGGGGTTTGGAGGACAAAAAAAACCCCACGGTAAGACAGAAACAGACAGACAGAAAGACAGACAGACAGAAGAGTCACAACGTGGCCACTAGAGGGCGCCACAGGACACAGAACCGCAGGCTCGGATTCTTTCCACCTCCAGGGCGCCTCTCCAGAGCTTGGAGCAGGCCCCTGCCTGCTTCCAGGGCTCAGAAGATTCCAGAAACCAGGTCTCTGTTGGCTGGGCTATTTTTCAGTCCCTGAACCTTCGTGGTCCAGGCGTGGGTGGCTCCCGCCTGTCAGCCCAGCGACTCAGGAGGCTGAGATCTGAGGATCAGGGTTCAAAGCCAGCCCGGGACAGGAAAAGTCCGCAAGACTCTTCATCTGCAAGGAGCCGGCAAAAAGCCAGAAGGCGTGTGGTTCAAGTGGTAGAGCGCCAGCGCTGAGTGAAGGAGCTCAGGGACAGCGCCCAGGCCCTGAGTTCGAGCCCAGGGGCTGGCACAAAATTGCAAGCACAACACTTTTCCTTCTCAATTTCCCTTCTGTCCTGGCGCCCCTTTCTGTCTGTTTTCTCTGGGGCTCAGGATACCCGGCTTTCCCCCAAGATTCCCTCCTTCCCTCCCTCCCTCGCCAGCACCCCCCTTCCTCCAGGTACTAGCTCAGATTGGGTTACAGCTAGCTCCGGCCTGCGCCTCCTGGGCTCCCATCTCTACTTTCCTCTGTGCCGTTGCCTGGAGACCAAAGGGTTGGGGTGGGGGGGAGCTGGGACCAGGGGTGGGGGTGGAGTGGGCACCCCAGGAACTGCAGGAGGAAGGCTCTACCCTCTTCTCAATACCTACACCCAATAGTTGTATTTGTTATTTATTTTTAGGCTTAGAAAAGTCACCATCCGGCCCCCACTGTGGAGCAAACAAACAACCAGCCAAACCCCAGCCCCCCGCGCCTCACGCTGCTGAGGTGGCTGTGATCTGGAGGATCGCTGTCCAAAGCCAGTCTGTGCCCGTGAAAGCGGCCCTTATCAGCCCTGGATCAGGGCTGGGCGGGTGGCTCAGTGGTGGCGCGCTTGCCTAGCATGCCTGAAGCCCTAGGTTCGATTCCTCAGTTCCACAGACACAGAAAAAGCTGGAAGTGGCGCTGTGGCTCAAAGGGTAGAGCTCTAGGAACAGCATCCAAACCCTGAGTTCCAGATCCAAGACTGTGAACACACACACACACACACACACACACACACACACACACGCACACACACACACACACACACACACACACACGCACACACTCTCCTAGGCCCAGGAAACACTCCCTGCCTCAGTTTCCCAGAGCTTCTGGAATCTCATTTTAGAGTTGTGAGGCACTGCTAGACTTTAGCTTGAATGTGTTCCAAGAGAGGCAAGGGGGGGGTACCAGGGCCCCCCCAACTCCTGGCCCCGTCCCAAACCTAAAGTCCTCCCCCTGCAGCTCTTCCAATCCCTCCCTCCCTCCCTCCCCCCTCCCTCCCTCCTGCCTTTCCAGTTTCAGCTGCCCCAAATCACCCCTTGTCTCTGGTGTCCTTTGTACTAGCTTGATGTGGGGGACAGGGGTCCCCCCCAGAAGGCCCTGGCGGCTGGGTGCCGGCTTTGGGGGTGAAGGAGGGCTGTCCGTGGTTAGTTGGGGTGAGCTTGGAGTCTGAGGTGGGTCCAGCCCCCCTAGCTAGTTCCACAGACAAGGAGGGCAGCTGGGGTGTGGGTGTAAGAAAGGGGGTGTCCTCAGGGGGTCCCACTCCTGGCTCACCCTCTTTCTCTCCCTCTGAGCTCCCCATTTCCAACATGGTGGCCGCCTTTCCCCTTTCAAGCTGTGCGCAGAGGCTGGGGGAACGGCCATGTCTCCTCATCCCTACTGCTCCCCTCCTTTTTTGGGGGGGCCATTGGTGCAGGGCCTGTGCCCCCCTGGCTTTTTGCTGGCTGTGTCTGCACGCTGAGCCTGGGCGCTGTCTTGGGGCTTTTGCTGCTCAGGCTGGTGCTTTACCACTTGAGCCACAGGCCACTTGCAGCTTTTGGCGGCTCACTGGAGATGAAGGGATTTTCTGGCTCAGGCTGGCTTCGAACTGCGATCGTCGGGGCTCAGCCTCCTGAGCACTCAGGACCCGGGGGCCTGAGCCTGCCCCCTGCCCTTCCCCTTCCCGGGAACCCCAGGACCTGCCCCACCCAGACCCGTACCCCCAAACCCTCCTGGTCCTGGCTTTCCAAGAACCCCCAAGGCGCCTGGCCTGTGGCCCCCCAGGTCCCCAAACGCCCCGGACCTCTGAAGCTATCCCAGAACCCCCCTCCCTCCACCAGAACCCCAATCCCCACCAGGGCCCCCAGCCTGGACCCCAAACCCTCCCCCCACGCCTCCTCATCCTTCCCTCCCTCCTCCCCCAATCTACAGAGCTCCCCCCTCCCCCCTCTTCCCCCAGCCCCTCCTCACCTACCTGGCCGCCCTGCCCCAACTCCCGGGCTCCCCCTCCCCCGCCCCCCTGCGGGTTCCTCCTCCCCCAGTCCCCTCCTCCTCCCCCTCCACCCCTGCGTGTTCCCCCTCCCCCCTCCCCCTGCGGGTTCTCCCTCCCCCCTCCCCCAGCCCCCTCCCCCCTCCTCCTCCCCCCTCCCCCCCTGCGTGTTCCCCCCTCCCCCTCCACCCCTTCCACCCCTGCGGGTTCCCCCTCCTCCTCCCCCCCTCCCCCCCTGCGTGTTCCCCCCCTCCTCCTCCCCCCTCCCCCCCTGCGTGTTCCCCCCTCCCCCTCCCCCCCTTCCACCCCTGCGGGTTCCCCCTCCTCCACCCCCCTCCCCCCCTGCGTGTTCCCCCCCTCCTCCTCCCCCCCGCCCCCCCTGCGGGTTCCCCCCTTCTCCAGCCCCCCCCCCGTCCTCGGCCCCCTCATCTACCGGGGTCTCCCCCCTCTTCCAAGCACCTTCCCCTCCCCCTCCCCCTCATCTACCCGGTCCCCCCTCCCCCAGCTTCCGGGCTCCCCTCCCCCCCCGCCCCCCCCCCCCGCGCGTCCCCCGCGAGCCGCGGTCGGTGCGGGGCGGTGCGGTGCGCGGGCGCGGGGCGGCCGGTGCGGGGCGGTGCGGGGCGGTGCGGTGCGCGGGCGCGGGGCGGGCGCGGGGCGGTGCGGTGCGCGGGCGCGGGGCGGGCGGGGCGGCGGCGCGGGCGGGGGAGGGGCGAGCGGCGGGGGCGGGCGGCCGGGCCGGGCGGGGCCGCGGGAGCGCCGGGCCGATCCGGGCGTGCGGCTGGGCCGGGCGAGCCGGCGATCGCGCGCGGGGCCCGGGAGGCGGCGATCGGGAGGCGGCGGCGCGCGGCGCGGGGCCGGGATGGGGTTCGCGCTCCGGGGGCGCCGGGGCCGCCGGCGGCCGCTGCAGCCGCGCGCGGAGAGGGCGGCGGCGCCGCCGCGCAGGTGAGGACGGGCCCGGCCGCTCCCCCCCCCCCCCGGCCGGCGATCGCGCCCGCGGCCCGGCGCAGGCGGAGGCGGAGGCCGCGGCGGGGGCGGCCGGGCCAGGCCGGGCGGGGACGCGAACTCGGAGGGCGGACGGGGGTGGGGGGTGAGGCCGGGCCGGAGACGCCGCGGGGATCGGGGATCGGGGATCGGAGGGATCGGGGATCGGAGGGATCGGAGATCGGGGATCGGAGGGATCGGGGATCGGGGATCGGAGGGATCGGGGATCGCCCCCCCCCCCCCGCCTTTTGTGACTCGGTTTCCTCCGCGTTCCCTCCCGCCGCGGCCCGCCTCACCTCTGACCCCGCGGCCCCCCGGTTTCTCCGCCGGCCGCGATCGCAGCCCGCGCCCCGCCCCGCGGCCTCCGGGACGGCCCGGAGCCCCGGCCTCCCTTTGTGCCCGGGCCGGGCCCCGCGGCGCCGCGGGCGGGCGGGCGGGCGGCGCGGGGCGGTGGGGGGCCGGGGGGTCCCCGCTTCCCTCCCCCGGGCCCGCGGGGCCCCGGGCCCCGCACGGATCCTTTTTCTCCCGGGTTCTGGCGGTGGTTTTCGCGCCGGTCGCGGGGCTCGAACCCGGGCCCCCCTCGCGGCGGGCGCTCCACCCCCTGGGCCGCAGCCCCGGCTTTCCCGCCCGGGCTGGCCTTGAACCGCGATCCTCGGGCCCGGGCCTCCGGGGTGGCCGGGCTGACACACAGGCGCGCGCGTGTCCAGGGCGTGTCAGGCCGGGGTGCGGGGGTCCGGGAGGGGTGCGGGGGCCCGGGAGGGGTGCGGGGGTCCGGGAGGGGTGCGGGGGCCCGGGAGGGGTGCGGGGGCCCGGGAGGGGTGCGGGGGCCCGGGGGCGCCCGGCCTCGCCCCCCTGACCGAGTTCTGCACAGGGAACCGTGCACGCGCGTGCGCGGGCCCGGCGCGACCCGGGGCCTCGAACCCGCGCTCCCCGGCCCTGTCCTGCAATCTCAGCCTCCTGCGGGTGGCCGGGATGACAGGCGGGCGCTCCTGCACCCGGCTGAGCTGTCGGCCTGGCATTGTCCGGCTCCTGGAACTATCCCCCCCCCCCACCTCTTTTCCAGATTATTTGGTTCTCAGTTTCCCTCGCAGACAGGCCCCAGGGCAAGCCTCCCCTCCCCCTCCCCCTCGGCCTTCCTCCCAGGCCTGGAGTCCTGACCCGCAGGCCTCAGGTGAGGGTGGCCGGGGAGTGGGCAGAGCTGCTGGATTGAGCACCTGGAGCGAGCCATGGGGTGGAAGAAGGGATCGGAGGTGGGGGGCGTCTTGGGGGGTTAGGCTAAGGCTTGTTTGTGAGCCCTCTTCCCTCTGGGATGCTGTGGCTCAGCCAGGGCTCCTGGCATTTACCCAGCATGCCCTTTCCCGAGAACTCGGACTTGGTTCGGTCCCTTCTGCTCACCTTGCCCAGTTGGTTCTTTCGTTTCTATTTACCTGGTAGTGGGACTTGAACTCAGAGCCCGGGTGCTGTCCCTTAGCATTTTCTGCGCAAGGCTATGACTCTGCCACTTGACTCTTCATGGGACTTTTATTTCCCCCAGCTGGCTTTGAATCACGATCCTCAGATCTCAGCCTCCGGAGTAGCTGGGATTACAGGCGTGCGCTACTGGTCTCTTAACTGGCTTAGTAACATTGACAGGCATGACCCTTACCAAGACATAAACAAGTGCTACTGGAAATACCTGGCCTTATTGATAAGATCCTGGCAGTTAGATTGTCAATCAAGTATCTGCTGGCTCACATCTGGCATCCCAGCTACTCAGGAGGCTGAGATCTGAGGATCACAGTTCAAAGCCAGCCCGGGACAGAAAATCCTAGAGACTCTTAACTTCAACAAACCACTAAAAAGCTGAAAGCGGAGCTGTGACTCAAGTGGTAGAGCGCTAGCCTTGAGCAAAAAAAAAACGCAGGGACAGCATCAAGGCTCTGAGTTCAAGTCCCAGGACTGGCACAAAAAACCATAACCCCCCCCCAAAAAAAAAACAAAACAGCAGAAGATGGGCTTCGGCTTGTGCACAGTGGTGTTCTGAGTTGGGTTTTGGTTGCGTGAGGGCTTTGTGAATGTGAGCAAGCGGATCTGCGGCCTCACAGTGCTCAAAGACCGGCCTAGACGTCCTATCTGCACACACGCTCACATACTCTCCCCTACTTCAGTCCTCTGTCCGTCTCTCCGATCCCGGAAGTGAGCAGGTGCTCTGTGAAACCCTCCACTGGACTCCTTTGGGGGCGATCTTGACCCAGAGAAAGAGATCTGTACACGTTCAGGCTGGGCACTGCCTCGTGGCTCACGCCTGTAATCCCAGCTACTCAGGAGGGAAGATAGGATCGTGGTTCAAAGACAGCCTAGGCAGAAAACTTGGGGAGACTCTTAGCTGCAATAAACTACCCCAGAAGCCGGAAGTGGAGCTGTGGCAGAAGAGTTTCTGCATGTCCAGACTAGGGAACCCAGCTTGCCAGACCTAACTACGGGGTATTTTAGCTGGACAATATTGAGACCGTAGGAGCGGTTGTTGAAGACTCAGTTGGAGGTCAGCCTGAGAAAATTCAAGTCTGCTTGGTTTTGGAACTTTCTAGAATTCCTCCCTCACCAAAAAATAATAATAAGATTCCCAATCTGGGGTTGATTAAATCTGTACATGTAAACCCACTAGGTAGGTAAGGAAGGTGAACTTGATTAGAGAGCCAGGCGCCAGCGCTCAGACCTGTCATCCCAGCTACTCAGGAGGCTGAGATGTGAGGATCGGGGTTTGAAGCCAGCCAGGGCAGGAAAGGCCGTGAGATTCTTAGGTCCAGTGAACCACCAAATGCCGGAAGTGGTGCTATGGTTCAAAATGGTAGAGCACTAGCTTTGAGCAGAAAGACTTAGGGACAGCACCCAGGCTCTGAGTTCAAGACCGGCGCACGTGCACACAGACAGACAGACACAACACATACCTGCATGGAATCCTACAACAAACTTAAGATGTGATTTTTTAGGTGTGCGTTGGTCCTGGGGCTTGAACTCAGGGCCTGGGCACTGTCCCTTTGCTTTTCTGCTCAAGGCTGGTGCTCTACCACCCAATTTACAGCTCTATTTCCTGCTTTTTGGTGGTTAATTGGAGATACCAGTTTCACAGACTTTCTTGCCTGGGGCTGGCTTTGAAGCATGATCCTCAGATCTCAGCCTCCTGAGTAGCAAGGATTACAGGCGTGAACCACAGTGCCCACCCACATTCTTTTCTTTTAATAAGCCTATTCTAGTTAATTTTTTTGTGGGGAGGGGTGGTGGGACTTGAACTGAGAGCCTGGGCATTGTCCCTGATCTCTTTTGCTCAAAGCTAGCTAGCACTCTATCACTTTGAGTCTCACGGACTTTCCTGTCTAGGCTTTGAAGCATGATCCTCAGATCTCAGCCTCCTGAGTAGGTAGGATGACAGGCGGGAGCCACCAGCGCATCGCTGTTAATTATAAAAATGTGTGCGTTTTCTTGGGGTATTACTATAGCTAAACACTTTCTCCTAGAATATAATCCAGTACTTCTTTTCCCTTCTTACAAACCTATTAGACCAACAGCATTGTGTGGATTGTGGGGACCTTAATTGCATTATGTATGGCTCTACCACGTGAGCCACAGCGCCATCTACCACGTGAGCCACAGCGCCACTTCCGGTTTTCTGGTGGTTCATGGGAGATCAGAGTCTCACGGACTCTCCTGCTCGAGTTGGCTTTGAACTACGATCCTCCGATCTCAGCCTCCTGAGTCTTGTCTCTCCTGTGGTTCTTGGCCTAAAGGCTTGGAGTTGAGGGACGAGCTCAGAGTCTCTCAGACTCTCTTCTGCCACGGGAGTCTCACAGTGATTTCTTCCTCACAGCTGTCACTGAGAGACCCCCCCCCCCCACGCGTTCCTGACCTGCTACGCCGGATTCCCACAACACTGCTGTGGGGAGCTTCAGGGCGAAGTCGTTTCTGTATTCAGCTGCCCAGGCAGAGGAGAATGGGGTCTCCATACTCTGAAGAATGAAAACGCGACAGAATAAAGACTCCGTGAGTAATAGCTACAAAAGGGGACATCAAGCCGGGCATGGTGGCTCACGCCTGTAATCCCAGCCGCTCAGGAGGCTGAGATCTGAGGATCACTGTTGGAGGCTGGTTCCATGAGGCTCTTGCGTCCAATTCCAGTGAACCACCAGCAAAGCAGAAGTGGCGCTGTGGCTCACGTGGCAGAGTGCTCGCCTTGAGCACAGAGAGGCTCAGGGACGGCGCCCAGGCCCTGAGTTCAAGCCCCACCACCGACCACACCAAACTGTTAGCACCTGCCTCCTTTTCTCCTTCCTCAGATGGCGATGAGGAGCGGACGGAAGAAAGAGGCCCCCGGGCCCCGGGAAGAGCTGAGATCGAGGGGCCGGGCCTCCCCTGGAGGGGTCAGCACGTCCAGCAGCGAAGGCAAAGCCGAGAAAGCCAGACAGCCAGTCAAGGTAACCGACCCGGCGTGGTATTAGGCGGCTGCACCTCCTGTCCGGGAGAGGGCGCTGTGGAGGCCCCGGGGCTGACCTGGGGAAATGTCTCTAGCAGAAGGCCCGCGTGGAGGAGTCCTCCATCCCCAAAGCCAGCAAGCAGGGCCGCAGCGGGGACATCTCGGGGAGCGAGAGTGAGGACACCAGTGCACCCAAAAAGACCAAGACGGAGGTGAGACCCCCTTCCTGCCAGGAGGGGTGTGTGCAGGTGCCATTCCTGGGGGCTTGAACTCAGGGCCTGGGCTCTAAGTCTCATGGACTTTCCAGTCTGGGCCTTCAACTGGGATCCTCAGACCTCAGCCTCCTGAGGAGCTGGGATGACAGGTGGGACCCACCAGTGCCTGGCTTTGTCAGGGAATCTTTAGGACTTTGGGGAGACTAATAAACACACACACAGAGCCAAGGGAGGTTAGAAGAGTTGGAGTTTGGGTACAATTTCTAGGTGGGAAGTCATAGCGAATGGAGCACATGTCACAAGGAAAATGCAAATAGGGTTTATATTTTGTTTTTGTCGGTTGTGGGGCTTGAACTCTGGGCCTGGGCGCTGTCCCTCAGCTCTTCAGCTCAAGGCGGGCGCTCTACCACTTGAGCCACAGCGCCACTTCCGGTTTTCTGGTGGTTCTTTGGAGATCAGAGTCTCACGGACTTTCCTGCCTGGCCTGGCCTTGAACCGTGATCCTCAGATCTCAGCCTCCTGAGTGGCTGGGGTGACAGGCGGGAGCCACCGGATATGGGGGTTTTTCTTGTCTGGAGAACCAAGCGTTTTCTTTGGGCTTGGCATCCCTGGTTCCGGGCTGGAGATCCCAAGCTACTCAGGAAGCTGCGACTGGAACGTGATGGTCTGAGGCTAGCCCAGGCCTGGAGTTCATCTCCGGTTAGCAGCGAAATACCAAGATCTGGAGGCGGGAGAGAGCCAGCCTTGAGTGCCAGAGCTGGGGGGGGGGGGGGTCCCACAGGTTCTGAGTTCAAGCCCTGGCCGGGGCACTGGAAGAGCAAAGAGAAAAAGCTGAGGGGTGGGGGTGAGTTCCAGGCGGGCCCCATGGGCCGTCAGCTGTGGAGGCTGGGACGGGGAGGGGGTGGCGAGGCTGGGGGGTGTGTGGGGAGCAGGGGGTGCGGGGGTGCATCCTGGGCGCGGGCGGCCCAGGCGGGGCGCGGCCGGGCCGGGCTGGGCGCGTGCCGCCTGCCGTCCCGGCGGTGCGGTGGGGCCGCCCCGCAGCTGGCCGCCCGCCCCGCGTGTCCCCCCCCCCAGGAGCTGCCCCGGCCGCAGTCGCCCTCCGACCTGGACAGCCTGGACGGGCGCAGCGGGAACGAGGAGGGCAGCAGCGACCCGCGCGACATCGACCAGGACAACCGCAGCACGTCGCCCAGCGTGTACAGCCCGGGCAGCGTGGAGAACGACTCGGACTCGTCGTCGGGGCTGTCGCACGGGCCCGCGCGGCCCTTCCACGCCGCGCCGCCGCTCTTCCCGCCGCCGCCGCCGCCCGAGCCGGGCCCCGACGCCGCGCGGCCGCCGCCCGAGCCGGGCTTCGAGCCGCACCCTGCCGCGGCCTTCCACGCGCCCGCGCTGGAGCCGCCCGCCTCCAGAGCCTTCCCCGCCCCGCCCGGCGGCCCGCACCCGCCGCTCTACCCCGCGGCCGCGGCGGCCGCGCCCCCGATGGGCCCCAAGGGGGCCGCCAAGCAGCTGCCGCCGCCCACCACCCCCATCGCCATGGCCGGCGCCGCCCCCAAGCCGCCCGGCGCGGGCCTCGGCCCCGCCGCGGCCCCCGCCGCCTTCCCGCACGTCGCCCCCAACCTGCCGCCGCCGCCCGCGCTGCGGCCGCTCAACAACGCGGCCGCCTCCCCGCCGGGGCCGGGGCACCTGCCCTCCCCGCACCCCGACAAGGGCCCCGGCCCCGCGCCCTCCCCGCACCCGCTGCCCCCGGCCTCGGCCGCGCCCCCGCTGCGCTACCCCTACTCGGGCCCCGCGCCGGGCTCGGCGGCGGCCGCCTGTAGTACCGGCGGCGGCGGCGGCGGCGGAGGGCCGTACCCCGCGTCGCAGGCGCTGCCCGGCTACCCGCACGCCTTCCCGCCGCCCGCCAACCTGTCGGTGGCCAACCAGCCGCCCAAGTACACGCAGCCCGCGCTGCCCGCGCAGCCCGTGTGGAGCCAGGGCCCGCCGCCCGCCTACGGCCGCCTGCTGCCCGCGCACGCCGCCGCCTTCCCCGCCGCGCCCGCCGCCGGCGCCCCGGCCCCGCACCCCGCCCCGCACCCCCACCACCACCCGCCGCCCGCGCCGCACCACGCCGGCCCCGGCGCCTTCCCGCACCCCGGCGACGGCGCCCCGGCCTACGGCGGCGGCCTGCGGCCCTTCGCGCCCGCGCACCCCGCGCCCGCCAGCTACGGCCCGCCCGGCCCCGCCGCGGGCCCCGCGCCCGCCGCGCAGCCCCCGGGCCCCGCCGCCTTCCCCGGCGCGCACGCCAGCGCCTTCCCGCCCGGCCCCGCCGCCACGCTGGCCTCCGTCATCGCCGCCGCCTCGCCCGCCGCCTACAAGACCGCGTCGCCGCCCGGAGCCCCGTTCAGCAAGCGCCCCGCGTCCCCCGGCCCCGCCGCCGCGGGCCCCGGCTTCAAGACCGCCTCGCCGCCCGCCTTCCGCGGGGCCTCGCCGCCCGCCGCGCCCGCGCCCGCCCCGGCGCCCGCGCCCGCGCCCGCGCCGCTCAGCGCCGCGCAGATCAAGCAGGAGCCGCCCGAGGACGCGGAGCCGCCCGACAGCCCCGCGCCGCCCGCGCGCAGCCCCTCGCCGCCGCCCAAGGTGGTGGACGTGCCCAGCCACGCCAGCCAGTCCGCACGGTGAGCGCGCGGGGCGCGGGGGGGCGCCGGGGGGGCCGGGAGGGGCGGGGGGGCCGGGGGGGGGCGGGGGGGCCGGGGGGCGCCGGGAGGGGCGGGGGGGGGCCGGGAGGGGGGCCGGGGGGCGCCGGGAGGGGCGGGGGGCGCCGGGAGGGGCGGGGGGGCGCCGGGAGGGGCGGGGGGGCCAGGGGGGGGCCGGGAGGGGCCGGGGGGCGCCGGGAGGGGCGGGGGGGGGCCGGGAGGGGCGGGGGGGCCGGGGGAGGCCGGGGGGCGCCGGGAGGGGCCGGGGGGGGACACGCCTCTGTAGGGGGGACAAGGAAGGCTGGATGGGGTGAATACTTTGGGGGGCGGTGGTGATGAGTACTTCGGGATTATGGGGGATCGGGAATATTGGGACTACGGGGGATCGGGAGTATTGGGGGACTATAGGGAGTCTGCAGTACTGGGGGGACTATGGGGGATCGAGAGTATTGGGGGCTGTGGGGAGGATCGGGAGTATTTGGGGGAGGGAGTATTGGGGGACTATGGGGGATCGGGAGTATTGGGGGGCTATGGGGGATCGGGAGTATTGGGGGTTATGGGGAATCGGGAGTATTGGGGGGCTACGGGGATCGGGAGTATTGGGGGCTAGGGACTATTGGGGGCTATGGGGGGATCGGGAATATTGGGGGTTATGGGGAATCGGGAGTATTGGGGGTTATGGGGGATCGGGGCTATTGGGGGCTATGGGGGGATCGGGAGTATTGGGGGGTTATGGGGAATCGGGAGTATTGGGGGTTATGGGGGATCGGGGCTATTGGGGGGCTATGGGGGGATCGGGAGTATTGGGGGGCTATGGGGGATCGGGAGTATTGGGGGTTATGGGGGATCGGGGCTATTGGGGGCTATGGGGGATCGGGGCTATTGGGGGGCTACGGGGACGGTGGCGCGTGTGGGGGTGGGATCGGGCTCGGGGGTGAAGGTCTCCCGAGCCCCGGGCCGCCGCCGACCGCTCTCCCTGCGCCCCGGCCTCCAGGTTCAACAAGCACCTGGACCGCGGCTTCAACTCGTGCGCGCGCAGCGACCTGTGCTTCGTGCCGCTCGAGGGCTCCAAGCTGGCCAAGAAGCGCGCGGACCTGGCGGAGCGCGGCCGGCGCGAGGCCGAGCAGCGCGCGCGCGAGGAGCGGGAGCGCGAGCGCGAGAAGGAGCGCGAGAAAGAGCGCGAGCGCGAGAAGGAGCGCGAGCTCGAGCGCAGCGTGGTGAGTGCGTCACGGCGTGCGCCGCCGCCGCTTCCGCTCCGCCCTGGACGCTGCCCAGCGCGACGCCGGGGGCGGGGCGGCGGCGTGGGGACGTCGCGGCGCCACCTGCCGGCTGGGAGGAGGCGCTGCAGCGCAGGAGGCCGGCGGGGCCACCGCGCCACCTGCCGGCCGGGAGGAGCTCTGCGGCCCGGAAAGGGGGGGGGGAGCGCTAAGGGGATCCCCGCGGGCGATCGGGGGCCCTGACTGCCCCCCTCGCCCCGCAGAAGCTGGCGCAGGAGGGCCGCGGCCCGGTGGAGTGTCCGTCCCTGGGCCCCGTGCCGCACCGGCCCCCGTTCGAGCCGGGCAGTGCGGTGGCCACGGTGCCGCCGTACCTGGGCCCGGACACGCCGGCGCTGCGCACGCTGAGCGAGTACGCGCGGCCGCACGTCATGTCGCCCGGCAACCGCAACCACCCGTTCTACGTGCCGCTGGGCGCCGTGGACCCGGGCCTGCTGGGCTACAACGTGCCCGCGCTCTACAGCAGCGACCCGGCGGCGCGCGAGCGCGAGCGCGAGGCCCGCGAGCGCGACCTCCGCGACCGCCTCAAGCCGGGCTTCGAGGTGAAGCCGGGCGAGCTGGAGCCGCTGCACGGCGTGCCGGGCCCGGGCCTCGACCCCTTCCCGCGCCACGGCGGCCTGGCCCTGCAGCCCGGGCCGCCCGGCCTGCACCCCTTCCCCTTCCACCCGAGCCTGGGCCCGCTGGAGCGCGAGCGCCTGGCGCTGGCGGCCGGGCCCGCGCTGCGCCCGGACATGTCGTACGCCGAGCGCCTGGCGGCCGAGCGCCAGCACGCGGAGCGCGTGGCCGCGCTGGGCAACGACCCGCTGGCCCGGCTGCAGATGCTCAACGTGACGCCCCACCACCACCAGCACTCGCACATCCACTCGCACCTGCACCTGCACCAGCAGGACGCCATCCACGCGGGTGAGGCCCCGCCCCGGCCCCGCCCCACGGCCTCCTGGCCCCGCCCCAACGGCCTGCCAGCCCCGCCTGCTTCCCCCCCCCCGCGTCTTGCCCCCGGCCACGCCCCCTCCCCCAAGGCCTGCCTCCCGGCCCCGCCCTTTCCCTCGCCTCTTGCCTCCTGGCCACGCCCCCTTCCCTGCGTCCCGCCCTCACAGCCCTAGCCACGCCCCCTCCCGCCTCTCGCCTCCCCTCATGCTTCCTGCCTCTGGCTTCCCTTGGGCTTCCTCCGCCCCTTGACCTCCTCCTCCTCTCCTGGCCTCCACCTCTCCCGGCCTCTACTCCTCCCGCCTCTGGCCTCCCCCCAGGGGCCCTTTGACTTCCTCCTCCTCCTTCCCTCCCTACCCCTCCTGGCCTCCATCCCTCCCCTCCTCCCGGCCTCTACTTCTCCGGCTTCCACTCTTCTGGCATTTCCGTCTCCATGATCTGTAGGCCCCACACTCCAGCCTTGTGTGTGTGTGTGTGTGAGCCAGTGATGGTACTCGGGCCCGGTGCCCTAGCTTGGCTTCCCCGCGTGCACCCCTCCCCGCCCCCATTGGTGGCACTGTACCCCTTGGGCCACAGCTCGCTCTCCTTGGAGCAAGTCTTGCAGACTAGGCAGCCTGGGCTGGTTGTGAATGAAGATCCTCAAATCTCAGCCTCCGGAGTAGCTAAGGTTTACAGGCAGGAGTCACCAGCTCAGCGCAGATGGTAGTGTGTGTGTGTGTGTGTGTGTGTGTGTGTAATAGAGTTCGAACTCAGGGCCTGGTTGCATCCCCGAGCGTTTTTGATTCAAGGCTGGTGCTTTACCAGTTGGGCCGCAGCTCTGCCTTCAGCGTTTTGGGGGCGCCGTGGAGATCAGGGAGTCTTAGGGACCGGGCTTTTGAGTGTTGTCCTCAGATCTCAGCCTCCTCAGCAGCTGGGATTCCAGGCGGGATCAGCAGCGCCCGCCTCGGCCCTGGTCCTAACCTGGGAGGGCGTCCTGTCTGTCCCTTCCCGAGCTTGCACGGTGTCCCCAGACCTGCCTGGCTGTGACTTCCTCCTCTTGTGCCCTCCAGCGTCCGCCTCGGTGCACCCTCTCATTGACCCCCTGGCTTCTGGGTCTCACCTGACCCGGATCCCCTACCCGGCCGGGACCCTCCCCAACCCCCTCCTCCCTCACCCTCTGCACGAGAACGAAGTTCTTCGCCACCAGCTCTTTGGTAAGCGGGGAGGCGGGCGCGGGGGTCGCCGGGGGGAGCAGGGGACGCGGGCTTCCGCCGCCGCCGTCGGAGGTAAAGCGGCTGGCCGTCCCCTGGCCGCAGCCCCTCAGTCCCGTGTTCCCGCCCTTCTCGATGCCAGCTGCCCCGTACCGGGACCTGCCGGCCTCGCTGTCGGCGCCCATGTCTGCGGCCCACCAGCTGCAGGCCATGCACGCGCAGTCGGCCGAGCTGCAGAGGCTGGCGTTGGAGCAGCAGCAGTGGCTGCACGCGCACCATCCGCTGCACAGCGTGCCGCTTCCCGCCCAGGAGGACTACTACGGGTCAGCGGGGAGCCCGGGCCGGGGGAGAGGGGGGCGGGCGAGGGGCGGGGGCTGCTGCCACGTGGGCGCATGCGTGAGCGTGGCCGCCAGCTGCTGGGTGAGCGTGAGGCTTGCTGCTACGTGTGCGCATGCGTGAATGGGCTACTGCTAGCTGTGCGCATGCGCGTGGGGCTGCCGCTCCGTCTGTGTGTGCGCATGCGCGTGGGACTGCGGCTCCGTGTGCGCGTGCCTATGCTGGGCGGCTGCTAGGTGTGCGCATGCGTGAGCGTAGTGGCCAGCTGCTCTGTGTGTGTGTGTGTGTGTGTGTGTGTGTGTGTGTGTGTGTGCGTGATGGCTTGCTGCTACGTGTGCGCATGCGTGACTATGATGGGCTACTGCTAGCTGTGCGCATGTGAGTGGGGCTGAAGCTCCGTGTGTGCGTGCCTATGTGCTGGGCGGCTGGTAAGGTGTGCGCATGCGCTTGGACTGCTACTTAGGAGGCTAAAATCTGATCCAGGCAAAAGAGCCTGAGAGGCATTGACCGCTAGCCGTGGGAGGGAAAAGCCAGTGCGCGTGCGCGAGGGCGGCAGGGCTGCCGCTAGCTGCGCGCGCGCGCACTTGGTGGCTGTGCGCATGCGCATCTGTTCTTTCCCCGTTTTTCACTCCCCGTGGCTGGGTCTGTCCGGGCGCCGGGCGCCCCCGGCTGGCGCTGTGCCGCTCGAGCTGCAGCCTCCGCTTCCAGCGCTTTCTTTTGCCGGCTCATTGGAGATGAGGCCGGCTGCGATCCCCGCCTCCCGCGCGGTTGAGGTGGCAGGCCTGAGCCCCTTCCCCTCCGCCCCGAAGGGGGGCCCGCCTCACCCCTGTGTCGTTGCTCTCCCCCCCTCCCCGCAGCCACCTGAAGAAGGAGAGTGACAAGCCGCTGTAGACCCCGGCCATCAAGAGCCCCCCGCCGGCCCCAGCACCCCAACCCCGGAAGCCCCCGCGCCTGGCCTGCCGCCCGGAGCCGCGGGGAAGAGCGCTGCTGGGCCGCGGGACGCGCGTGCAGCGGGACAGCGGGAGGGAGGCGGGGACGGACGGGGCGGGGGGGGGGGGGGCAGCGCACAGTGGATCTTGGACCAGGTCTCTCTTCCTCGTCCCCCGGCCTTCCTCCTCCTCCTCCTCCCCCCCAGGCCCAGCCCCGGGGGCCGCGCCCCCCCCTTTGGTGTGACTATTTTCATCTGTTAGATGTGGCTGTTTTTTGCGTAGCATCTGTGTGCCGCCCCCCCCCCCCATCGGCCCCTCCGTGCCCCCCCTCTGCGATGTACGCCCCGCCCCCCACATTAATAATTTATATATATAAATATCTATATGACGCTCTTTAAAAAAAAAACATCCCAAACCAACCAAACAAACACGCCCTCAGGCCTCCCCAGGAAAACGGCTCTGACTTGTTGTTGGTGGCGGTGGGCTGCTGGGCTTGGGGCGAGGTCTCTCGGCCCACAAAGGAGGGAGGTGGGAATCCTGGGACTTGTGTGTCCTGGGGTTTGAACCCGGGGCCTCGAGCCAGCTGGGCTTTTCCCGCCCAAGGCTGCTGCTCTACCGCTTCTGGTGGTTCGTTAGGGGTCAACGTCTTCCAGGCTCGTCTGCCTGGATCAGATTTTAGCCTCCTAAGTAGCTGGGACTACAGGCGCGAGTCATCGCTGCAGACTCGCTTTCCTACTGGGTTGGAAAGCCTTGGAGCCAGCGGGGAGGTCTCGGGAGGCCCGAGGTCCTCAGCGCAGCCCGCGGGGGGTGGGGGGGCTGAATGGGGCGAGGCGGCCTTCGGGGTGCAGCGGGACCCGGATCCCGCGCGCGATCGCACTGGGGTCCCAGGACGGCGCGCAGCGCCCCGCAAGCCGGGCTGGGAAAGCGCCACGACGGCTCTTGCTCCCGGCTCCCATTGGCTTTTCTTGAGAGCCAATCCCCGTCCTGGTTCTTCACCACTGGGGCGCCGTGATTGGCTTGTGTCCCCAGCCAATCGGAACCAGGCTAATTTGCATAGCACTTCCCAAACGTTTACAAACTCCAGGAAAAACAATGTTTCCAATTAGTTCCGTGGACTGTCCACGCGGTGACCGCACCCGCACGTGGGTCTGGCTGCTGCTTCCCTCGCTCGGGGGTCGGAGAGCGCCAGCCCCAAACTCGCCCTCAGTGTGAAAGGGGTGGGCGCTGCCCCCGCTGGTCGCCGCAGGGCGGCTCGGCACAAGTGTTGCAGCTCTTTTAGAATTTGTCCAGCAGGTTTTCTGGCTTTTGCCGGAAAACCCACAACCTTAACGTGTGTAACGGCAGACCTGGGCTGTGTCGAAGTGATGCTTTACATCCCGCTCTTCCTTGGTTGGGTCCCTGACCGGTAACTTCCGGTTGGCTTTCCCCTCCGCTTCCGCTGCGCTCGCGGCCGCCGGATGCTGCTTTAACAGGCAGCGGGTTTCTGTGGGTTTGTGGTTCCCCCCTTAATTCCTTTGGAGCCGTGTGGTTTTCCATGGCGTCCGCTTCGTCCCAGCCCGCGGCGCTGAGCGCGGAGCAGGCCAAGGGTGAGCAGCGTTTCTGTTTGGGGGGAGTGGGGGGCCTGGGGTGCGCGTGGGTGCGGTGCGCGTGGGCGGGTCCCGTCCCCTCACCCCGATCCCCCCCGGGTTTCCCGCCGCCGCACGCGCAGTGGTCCTGGCCGAGGTGATCCAGGCCTTCTCGGCCCCGGAGAACGCGGTGCGCATGGACGAGGCCCGCGACAACGCGTGCAACGACATGGGCAAGATGCTGCAGTTCGTGCTGCCCGTGGCCACGCAGATCCAGCAGGAGGTCATCAAGGCCTACGGCTTCAGCTGCGACGGGGAAGGTGCGTGGGGCGGGGCCTCGCCCACCCCCACCCCCACCCCCGGCTTCACCCCGCGGCGGCGACGGCCACTTGTGACGGCCCTGCCCCGCAGAGCCCGGGTTCAAGCCCCACGCCCGACAAAGCCACAGCGCGGGGCCAGCGTCCCGCGCTCGGGTCCCCGGCGGGCCTGAGGCCGCGCGCGCAGGCGCAGGCGGCGGCCCGAGAGTGGGCCTGACACTCCGGGCCGGTCCTGGGGCCTGAACCCGGGGCCGGCGCCCCTTTCCGCCTCAGGCCCGCCGGCCTGCGGGCTGACCGCCGCCCCCCGCAGGTGTCCTCAAGTTCGCGCGCCTGGTCAAGTCGTACGAGGCCCAGGACCCGGAGATGGCGAGCCTGGCGGGCCAGCTGAAGGCGCTGCTCCTGCCGCCCATGGCGCCGCCGCCGTCCGCGCCTGCGCCCGCGCCCGCGCCCGGCGTGGCCGCCTCCTGAGCCGCCCGCCCGCCCCGTCCCCCCCCCGCCCTGCCGCCCGCGGCGGACCGCACCGGGCGTGGACTCCGCCTGGGCCGCCCCGCCCTTGGCCTCGACGCCCCGCCCCCAGACCCCGCCCCTCCACGCCCCGCCCACCACCCCCTCCAGACTCCCGCCCCTCGGCGCCCTGCCCTTCGCCCCGCCCCCTTGGGCCCCGCCCCCAGACCTCGAGGCCCTGCCCTTCGCCCCGCCCCTCCGGGCCCCGCCCCCTCGGTGCCCTGCCCTTCGCCCCGCCCCTCGGGCCCCGCCCCCTCGGCGCCCTGCCCTTCGCCCCGTCCCTCGGCGCCCCGCCCTCCAGACCTCGAGGCCCTGCCCTTCGCCCCGCCCCTCGGCGCCCCGCCCCCTCGGCGCCCCGCCCCCTCGGCGCCCTGCCCTTCGCCCCGCCCCCTCGGGCCCCGCCCCCGCGGAGGGCCAATAAACGCGCTGTGCGGGCGCGCCGCCCCGCCCCGCCGCGGAGTCGCTGGAGTTTCTTGTCGCGCCGCGGGCCTGAGCCCGGGCCCGGCTCCTCCCCGGGGCCCGGCGCCACCTCCGCCTTCTGGGGGCTCCTTGGCCGCGGCCCTCAGATCTCAGCCTCCCCAGTGGCCGGCTCCGGAGGGGCCGAGCCCCCTGCCCCCTGCCCCCGCCCCCCGGGCTTCCGGGACGCGGCCCGGGCGCACCGGTGCGGCCCCTCCCCCGGGCCGGCCGCGCCCAGGCCAGGTGCGGCGGCGGCCCCGCCCCTCCCGAAGGCGGGCGGCGGGGGGGGGGGGGGGGGGAGGGGCGGCCCCGCCCTTCCGAGACCTGCGCCGCCGAGCTTCTGCCCCGCCGCCGCCCGCCTGGAGATGCTGTCCCGCGGGTGAGTCGGCGCCGCGCCCGGACCCCGCGCCCCGGCCCCGCGCGGGACCCGCACCCCGCACCCCGCACCCGCGGGCCGCTCGGGCCCTGCCGCCCCTCACGCCGGCCCGGCCGCGCCCCTCCCGGTTCTGCCCGGCCCGCCCCGAACCCCGGCCCCGGCGGCCGGTGACGGCCAGGCCTTTCCAGCCGGGTCCACCTGTGGGGGGGGACACCTGTGGGGACGGGGGGGACACCTGTGAGGACGGGGGGGACACCTGTGAGGACGGGGACACCTGTGAGGACGGGGGGGACACCTGTGGGGGGGGACACCTGTGAGGGGGGGACACCTGTGAGGACGGGGACACCTGTGAGGACGGGGGGGACACCTGTGGGGGGGGACACCTGTGAGGGGGGGACACCTGTGAGGACGGGGACACCTGTGAGGGGGGGACACCTGTGAGGACGGGGGGGACACCTGTGAGGACGGGGGGGACACCTGTGAGGACGGGGGAGACCTGTGAGGACGGGGGAGACCTGTGAGGACGGGGGACACCTGTGAGGGGGGGCACCTGTGAGGGGGAGCACCTGTGAGGGGGGACACCTGTGAGGACGGGGGACACCTGTGAGGGGGGGCACCTGTGAGGGGGGGCACCTGTGAGGGGGGGCACCTGTGAGGGGGGGACACCTGTGAGGACGGGGGAGACCTGTGAGGACGGGGACACCTGTGAGGGGGGGGACACCTGTGAGGGGGGGACACCTGTGAGGGGGGGACACCTGTGAGGACGGGGGGGACACCTGTGAGGGGGGGACACCTGTGAGGACGGGGGAGACCTGTGAGGACGGGGGACACCTGTGAGGGGGGGACACCTGTGAGGGGGGGCACCTGTGAGGGGGGGACACCTGTGAGGACGGGGGAGACCTGTGAGGACGGGGACACCTGTGAGGGGGGGCACCTGTGAGGGGGGGACACCTGTGAGGACGGGGGGGACACCTGTGAGGGGGGGACACCTGTGAGGACGGGGACACCTGTGAGGACGGGGGACACCTGTGAGGGGGGGGACACCTGTGAGGACGGGGACACCTGTGAGGACGGGGACACCTGTGAGGACGGGGGACACCTGTGAGGGGGGGACACCTGTGAGGACGGGGGACACCTGTGAGGACGGGGGGGACACCTGTGAGGGGGGACACCTGTGAGGGGGGACACCTGTGAGGACGGGGGACACCTGTGGGGGGGGGACACCTGTGTGGGGGGGTCTCCAGGTCCACCTGTGAGGGGTGCCCCTCCCCCCGCAGGGACACCCCTCACATGGGCTCGTCTGCCTCGTGGCTCTGGGATTGGGTGTCTGCCTGTGGTCCCCGCTCGTGGGCAGGACCCCACGTCCAGACACCCCAGCTGCAGAGCGAGACCCCACCTCGGGTGAAATAAAAAAGGAAACCAGCCCGGCGTCGTGGCTCCCGCCTGCCACCCCAGCTACTCAGGAGGCCTAGATCGGAGGATCGCGGTTCAAAGCCAGCCTAGGGCAGGAAAGTCCCTGAGACTGATCTCTCCAATCAACCACCAGAAAACCGGAAGTGGCGCTGTGGCTCAAGGGGTAGAGCGCCCGCCTTGAGCTGAAGAGCTGAGTTACAGCGCCCAGGCCCTGAGTTCAAGCCCCACGACCAACAAAAGTAAAGCCAGCACAAAACTGGCAGTATAATGTAAAATTTACACTGAAGTCCTCCCTCCCTCCCCTCCCTCCCTTCCTTCCATCTGTCTTTTTTCTTCCCATCTGTGTGTGTGTGTGTGTGTGTTTGTGTGTGTGTGCGCACGCGCGCGCGAGTGCACGCCTGTGTGCCTCATGACTTGATCTCAGGACCTGGGCGCTGTCTCTGAACTGTGTGGCTCCAGACGGGCGCTCTACCACTCGAGCCACAGCTCTCCTTCTGGCTTCTTGCTGGCCATTAGAGATAGGAGCCTCACAGGCTTTCCTGCCCGGCCTGGCTTTGCACTGTGATCCTCAGGTCTCAGCCTCCTGAGTGGCTGGGATGACGAGGCTGTTGTTTTGTTGTGGAGATGGAGATCATGGGTGTGCAGCCAGGCTTTACCTCCTGTACCCCAACCACACCCCCACGTCAGCCTCCCAGTGACCCTCCAGTCACCTCTAGGTCCTCCTTTGGGCTACTGAAGTGTGAAGTCGTAGCCTTGGGGCTGGGAGCGTGGCTCAGTGGTAGAGTGCTCCCAGCAAGCACGAGGCCTGGGTTTGATTCCTCCTGACACACACTGAGGCTATTTATATCCTTGTTAGCTAACATTCCGCCCTGGAGTCCTTCCTCCGACCATTTTCGATGGAGGCTGTGGTTTCCACACGGAGGCTCGTGCTCTGCCTGAGGGGAGGCCAGCCTCAGACTCCCAGCCTCTGCCTTGGCCTCCTTAGCAGCACGAATTCCAGGCTTGCTCCATCATGCCTAGCTTGTGAGGTAAGATGGAGGTCTCACCAATTTTTTTTGTTTGTTTGTTTGTTTTTTCCAGTCCTAGGTCTTGAACTCAGGGCCTGGGCGCTGTCCCTCAGCTCTTCAGCTCCAGGTTGGCGCTCTACCACGTGAGCCACAGCTCCATTTCGGGCTTTTTCTGCGTATGTGCTGCTGAGGAATGGAACCTAGGGCCTCATGCATGCTATGCGAGCACTGTACCACGGAGCCACCTGCCCAGCCCACTAATTGTTCTTGTTGTTTGCCTGAGTTGGCCTTTAATTATAATTCTCTTGGCCTCCACTTCCTGAGTCATTGAGATTTCAGAAATGTACTACCATGCCTGGTTACATAACAGATGTGTGTGTGTGTGTGTGTGTGTGTGTGTACAGGTCCTAGAGGTTGAACTCAAGCCCTGGGTGCTACCCCTGAGCTGCTTTTTGTTGTTGTTGTTGGTTGTAGGGCTTGAACTCAGGGCCTGGGCGCTGTTCCTTAGCTCAAGGCTAGCACTCTACCACTTGAGCAACAGCGCCACTTCCGGTTTTCGGGTGGTTTATTGGAGATCAGAGGCTCATGGACTTTCCTGCCCAGGCTGGCTTTGAACTACGATCCTCAGATCTCAGCCTCCTGAGTAGCTGGGATGACAGGCCCATTGGCACCCACCTCCCTGAACTTCTTTTGCTCAAGGCTGGTGCTCTACCACTTGAGCCATACCACCACTTCAGGTTTTCTCATGGTTCATTGGAGATGAGAGTCTCTCAGGGCTGGGCAGGTGGCTCAGTGGTAGAGTGCTCTCCTAGCATGCATGAAGCTCTGGGTTCGATTCCTCAGCACCACATCCACAGAAAAAGCCAGAAGTGGTGCCGTGGCTCAAGTGGTAGAGCGCCAGCCTTGAACGAGCAGAAGCTTCAAGCCTCAGAACAAAAATAAATACATAAATGAGGGACGAAAGGAAGGATGGAAGGAGGGATGGCTGAAGGAAGGAAAGAACAAAGCCATGTACTGGTAGCTCAAGCCTGTGATCTGTAATTTTAGCTACTCAAGAGTCTGAAGTCTGGAGGATAGGGGTTTGAGGCCAGCCTTGACAGAACAGTCCATGAGCCTTGATGCAAAATAGCCAGCAAAAAGCCTGGCGGGAGGCATGGCTCAAGTGGTGGAGCACCAGCTGAGCAAGCAAGTTGAGCCAGCAAGTCCTGAGGAAGAGGAGGGGGAGGGTTGGGGGATGGGCTGGCAGTGTGTGCCAGTGCTCAGCCAGATCCAACTTGGCATGGTTTATTTGCTGCTAGGAGCCGGTGGTGCCTGTGCATTCTTAGCTGGGTGTGCGTCTGTCCTGACTGTCGGGGGCTCATGTCACTTAGCTGGCTCAGCGGCTCAGGGCTGCGCTTAGTTCCTGCCAGGAGCACTGACCGCTAGCGCTGTGCGTGTGGTCAGGATCACGCGTTTGTGTTGGGGTTTGCCTCTCACTGAGTATGCGTGTCCGTGGACAGGTGCTGGGCTGTGCCTACACAAGTCCAGGGGGGTTTTGATTGGGTGTGCATGTGTGTGCGTGTGTGTGTGTGTGTGTGTGTGTGTGTGTGTGAACTCAGGGCCTGGGTGCTGTTCCTGAACTTTTTCCCCTTCAAGGCTGGTGCTCTACCACGTGAACCACAGCCTCCCTTGTGGGTTTTGAGTGGTTCACTGGAGATCAGAGTCTCACCGGG